ACCTAGTTTTCTTGTTTTGGAGAGCGAATGTGTTGCTTTTCTTGTAGCTATGTTTTGTGGTTTTCTCTCCAACTCTTTTTGGTTTGGCTACAAGTAGGATATGTTAAATTTATGTATATCCAGATTTAGTAAATCTTGAGAGAATCAAATTGATTTTTTTTTCATATTTATTTCAATTCTTGTTTGTTACATCATATAACAAATTTAAGACCCTGTATGTATCATATTTTATGTAAGGGATAATGAATTCATCACAAATAGAGACGAATGGTAATTCAAAGCCCAAGAGGAAAAAATTTTTATGGAGCTTAAAACCTGAGTGGATAACTGGATTGCTTCAAATAATGATGGAATATGTAAATGTAAATATGCGAAGTGCCCAAGAATTCAAAGACTATGTGTATCAAGGTGCAACCCAAAAAATGAATGTGAAGTTTGGAATAGAGGTGACAGGTCAACAATGCAAGAACCAAATAAGGTATCAAAGAAGTGTGTGGATTCACATTCAGGAGTTAAAATGAAAATTAGGTGTATTTAGGGATGAAATAAAGAAAATGATAGTGATGGGTTAAGAAGAGTATGCATCACATATTTAGGTATTACTTTAAACACATCATTTAAATTTATATTTTGGGGATAACAACTTTTTTATTACTTACAGGCTTTTCCCAAGGATTCTGCTTATTTAAATATTCCAATTGCAAATTATGTAGAGTTGGAGATAGTATGTGGTCTTGGACATGCAACTGGAGAGTGGGAAAAATTGAGAAATTCTCAAACTCCACTTGGATCTCAACAAATACATTTAAGCGATGATGAACCCTCATAATTTACAGATATTGGTGCAGATGGATCAATGCCTACTAAGTAGCCTGATATGCAAGTTATAGAAGATTCTACTGTAACAATAAAGAAAATGTTTCCTTCATCTAGTATAAGAGGTGATGCAAAAATGAAGTATAAGACATCAGCTGTCGATGAAAATATCCATGAGAGTATTTGTTTGATGACTGATAGTATGAATGAAGTTGCTAACATTATCAAGAGCTCAATAACATATCCAAATCAAATACGGAATATGTATATTGAACTGATGTTGAGTTAACAAATATTTCTGGCTTCTCAGAAGAAGAGGTTGATACGATATATGATAATTTAATAAAAAATCCCATACTTATACCATCTTTTCTTTCAAAACCTACAGATTTGAAGGATAGATGGATGCGTAAAGAGCTAGGAAACTGATATAACTTGTTGAAGATTGGCATATCTATTAAAGTTGTTATTTATAAACTGTTTCAGGTTAATTTGTTGTAATTATAACTACGAACAATGGGTATATTTTTATCATTTTTTTAATTATACATTTTTATTAATGTTGTTTACATGTTATGAATGAGAATCATGTGATTTATTGATTACTAATCGAAATCAATTGTTTTTATTGCTAAATTAAACAAATAAATCAGTTTGAAAATTTAATTTTCTATAATTTTTTGTTATAAAAACATTACTTAAAAATAAAAATTAAAAATTTTAAAAGAATTTAAAACTAAAATTTCTCTTTATCACAAGTATATTTTCGTTTATTGTAGCACACTACTAAATTAATACACAACATAATTTTATATCTTATAATAATAAAAATTATAATAAGATCATAAAATAAATGTATACATTAATTTTATTTTATAACACCAAATAATACTAATTATTATAAATAAACTACTTTTATAAATACACTAATTTTAATGCCAAAATAAATTATAAAAAAAAATGCTTTTACTTTACTCTAGATATACCTAACCAAATAAGGGAAACAATTATCTTGTGTTTATTTTGCAGACAACCAAATAGGCTCAAAGTATTTAGAATGCATTACATTTACTTTATATTGCATTTACTTTACACTGTATTTCTTTTTCAAGCAACCAAATAGCCCAAGTCTCTCTGTCAATATGTTAGCTTGATTGTAAGTGTTAATGCCTCCTTGTTCGCTAGGATCTCTTGAGTAGCAGGCACCTCCTCTTGCTCTCGGCAATCTCTTTAGCTAGTTTAACTCTTAGCATTAACTCATTTCTTATTGTAAGCTTAGTGGTGGGGGGCCTCATTGTCGTAGCAGATGCTCTTGTGGTCAATAATGAAGGATCAACAACAATGAACTCCTTATCCAAAAACTTAAACAAACCTCAAGTTGCTTGTTGCAGAGACTAGTCATCTTAGTGTATAAGTCAACCGCTCGTTGTATTATCACAATTGCCTTGTTCTCACTCCATGGATAACAAATTAACTCGCTCGAAGATGTATATTATAGGCTTGCTACTTCTTGAAGTTTCTCAAGCACTAATAGAATTCATTCTAAGCAGTGCATGAAGTTCCTGTGAAATACTATATGAAATGTCATCACATAAGTCAATACTATTAGTTCAATTGTATTGATGAATTATATAATCTACTCATGTGATTATACCATATGCAGTAAAATAGTGGCCAAATCCATACTTATCAATCATAAGATAGTATAGATATTATCATTATGAATGCATCATATCTATGTTCTATCAATATCAATGCATTATGTCTATACATGTAAAATCAATTATCTCCGCATGCAATAACTCTACAATCTTAGTTATTATTATCTATGCAAATAAGGATATTTGGCTCATGTTGTATTCTACACCATATCATGTAGGTCAAACCTACATTAATCAATCATCATTCTCATCAATCAAAAGTCAAGTAGTTTCATATAAGAAGTCATCATTTACTTTTTTTTTTCATTTATTGTGATTTAATTCATCATTTCCTACTTGTTAGCATATAATACCATATTAGCCAAGCTCTCCTTATGCCACCCATCATATTTTTAGGATTACATCATGATCCTTATTTAAAGGAAAGCCCACTAGCTCACCATCTTATATATGAGCACATATCTCCAGCCAACCTAAATCAATTAAATATCTTGCCTACTTTTCTTAAATATGCATATATAACATATCTTGTATTTATGATTCATAATAACATTCATTATACATCATGTACATATCAATCGCAAATAAAATAGCATGTAAATATATTAGTACTATGAACTACAACAATTATGTTAATTATGATTATAAGTATACTTGTTAGTGTGCATGAGAAAAATTATGTTAGAATGCATGTCAAATTAGATGCATCATATCAAATATTCATGTCAAGCCTAGTGTATCGTAGATGTTGCATGTCATGTCAAATCAGATTAAATGAAAGGTAGAAGTCCACATCATTTTTATTATGCCTTTATCCTTATTATTTTAGATAAAATAATATACATGAAAAACAATAAGGTAAAATCTCAATATGATCATATCAAATGTATAGAAGGAACAATCATACAACATATCTAAAATTATTTGTTGAAAATTTGGGAGATTAAAAGAAATTATATCTTTTTTTTTACATTCAAAAGAGACAAATTAGATAGAAATTGTAATCATTGAAATCAGAGGTAGCATAAAGATCAACAATCATGAGATGAAAATTTTTTATAATTAGCATGATAGAGAAAATTGGCCCAAGGCAAACTTTCTATATCCTCCTCTCTCCCCCTTCTCTACTTTCTTCTTTGGCCAAATAGGAGAAAGGGTAAATTTTTAAACAAACTATCATTAGTACTTAAATTATGTTATTAAGCATGTTGTAAAAAAAATTAAAAAAGGAATAATCATTTGTTTAATGGGCAACTTATTTGCCCAATCAGCATTTAAAAAATAAATTAAAAAAAAAAGAAGAAGAAGTTAGCAAGTTGCCATTTGAACAAGCAACTTGATACAATACACTATACTTTTTTTACATTTTATTTTGGTTTTAACTCAAATTTATATTTCTCAATGGAAAATTTTAATTAAATTTATGAAAAAATTTTAATTTTAAAATATTAATTAATTTGAGTGTCAATTTTATTTTTTAATAGAAATCATTTCTCAAGTTTACATCATTAATTCAAGTTTTTTTAAATAAATTTTCATTATCTTTTTAAAAATTAAATATCTTTTTCTTAGTTAAATTTAAAAAATATATATTCAATGTTAGTCTATCTATAAATATTTTGAATATAAATATGTAATCAATTTTTTAAAATATATATTCTAAATGCAATCCCAAGGAAGCAATGATGTTGCATTTTAATAAATTATCTTTAAGATTAATAAAGTAAATGTAAGATTGATTTAAAATTTTCAATATTAAATTATAAAATTAAAAAATATATAAAAATTAATAATGATATTTAAATTAATGTGATTTAATTAATTTTTTTTCCTTTGAAAAAATAAATTTGATTTAAAAAATAAAAATATATAATAAAAAAAATTACTATAGATAGTCACCCGTTCAACGAGCAACTTACTATAGTACTTTTAAAATTTTTTAATGGGCAAGTAAGTCTCTCGTTGAATTTACGAATATGCCTATTTTAATTTTTTGTATAACATAGTTAATCATATAATTTAATTACTAATGATATTTGGTTTACAAATTTTCCTTAGGTGAAATGAGGCGGTTGGGATGGTTTTTGGATTTAAGGAAAGTAGTATTAAATATTTTATTAAAAAATATTTTTGTCATGTCAACACGATTGGGCTACACTTCTTAGGATTGCAGCGCTCAATTTGATTGAGAGCACAATATCGGCATGTATCTCTCAATCTCTGATATGCCACTCAATCCAAAAGCCACAAGACAAAGAAGACAGCATCACCATGCTCACCAATGCAGTGCCACTCAACTCCTATGCAAAATTTTCATTTATATAAGAGATCATATTATGTTCCTATTGGATCATTAACATATCATTAATCTAATAAAAAATGAGTCATTATAGGGAGGTGAATTGTTGCGTCTTTAAAAATATTATAATTATTCAAAAATCTTAAAAACACAGATTTCTCCGATTTAGTGAAATAATGAAAACAAATTTGACAATTTCTCTAAGAAATATATATATGATATCCATGGCTAACCTTGTGAAGGTGGAGTTAGAGGAAGGAAGTGTGCTTAAAATCAGCGGGGAGAGGAAGCGAGAGAAGGCGGAGAAGTCCGATACCTGGCGTCTCTTCGAACGCACTACCGGCAGCTTCCTACGCCGCTTCAATCTCCCGGAAAATACAAAGGCCGACGACGTGAAGGCCGCCATGGAGAACGGCGTGCTCACCGTCACAGTTCCTAAGGAGGAAGTTAAGAAGCCGGAGGTGAAGTCCATTAAGATTTCCGGCTGATGAAATTGGTGAACCCCTTTTAAATGCAAAGTTGTTTTTGTCGGTTTCGGAACCCTACTCGTGTTTATCCTTCTACGTTTATGTGTCTTAAGTATGCCCTTTTTCCGGTCAGTGTATGTGATGCCACTACAGGAAAACACGTCATTACCGGCGGACAGTATCCGCCGGTAACCATTTAAATCTGACGAAACTCCACTCAATTTTACGACGCATTTCCGTCGGATTTCAATGCACCGGTTATGGCGGTGTGTGCTAAATCATTTACCCGACGTCTCTAATGCACCAGCGCAAAACATTCTGGCGCACTTTTTGGTGCATTTCGGGCATATTGACATAATAAGCGATTTTCAAACACTAATCCGACGAAAATACGCGGTATTAATCGTTAATCCGACATATACCGCGCATAAAAGTCGTAAGGTTGCCGTAAATAAAGCTACGACTTAGTTCCGACCGCAACTTCGCGTCGGCAATCTCGTCCAGATTACGATCGACGGAAAGCGCGTAATTTCCGGCGCACACAAAGACGCGCAGCATGACGATCTAATTTGTTGTATCGTTCGTTTCCGTCTTTCCGATGCAAAATCCATGGAAACCTGTAGCATTGACAAAAAAATTCTTCCAGACCAACAATCATTTTTCACACCTGCAAACCTATACAATATTCTATCCGACAGTTATATAAACGTTTCACAAATAAAATTTCATCACAAATGCACAGAAAACTTATAATTCATTAAAAAATTGTCAGACAAGTAACAACCATTAAAAACATCACATATTATTTCATATTACTAAGATTCAAAGAATATAACTTGGTGCATTACAATGATGGATGCAATTCTGAGAAATCTTCTTTTTAAAGGTATAATCATGCATCCATTACCATAACATCTATCTTTGTGTATGTCAAACAAATTTGGAAACTAACTTTTTTGTCAATATAAATCTGTAGGAATTAAATTATATGTTGGATTGGTTTCTTAAGCACCAATGGGAATTGATTAAAATATTACAAGCACATTAGTATTCTAACTTGATGCCTTACATATCTTCACAGCAAAATAAGCTCAGTGAGAGTGGTTACCTCTCCAGATTAGGTTGCTGGAAGCATGCAGCAAATATAAAAATTATGTGCACCATTATTCGGTAATCTTCTACATTTTGTTCCAAATTGTATTCCAGTTGCATCTTGAACTAATTCCTCAAGATTTGGTCGGTAATTTTCAGCCTCAGCTATATTAGTGCTCTGTAGAAGGACAGATTGAGTATATTATATGCTCGAAACTCCCTGAGAAGTCCAATACCAATAACGTGGCATGAACCCTCTGCGACACAGATCAACAGTTACATCATCTGGTTCTAGGTGCACTAGATTTTTATGTTTAGAACATGGACATCGAAACTTTCTTTCTGATATGAATCTTGGTAGTTGTTTCGCTTGCTGAATGAAAATGTTCACCCCATTAATGAATTCATCTGTTAATGTCTTTCGTCCTTGAGATAATCGGTTATACATCCAACTTCTTTGATTTCTAATATCCATCACCTATATATAAGAGCAAATAAGTAAAGAATTTTCGCTCAAGTAGATGTAAAACTGAATATAAAGAGATATTAACATTAGAATTCTTCTAATCTAATTGTAAGAAAGGGGAATAAAAATTCTGATGTTGTTCCCATTAAGGGAGTAGAGGAAGATAATGATGAATATGGTTTGTGGATTCTTATTAATCATGGCATGAAAAGATTCTTTTATCTTAACAGAACAAAGTCTATTACAGCTCTATGAGTAGTTAAACATGTTGAGGAAATAAGTGCTAATACTAAAGGTGTGTTGGAGGATAAGCCACCTACCGTCTTGAAGAGTTTGGTGGAAAATAATGAGTTAAATGTTCTTGGCTTCTATAGTTTCAAACAAACAAATGAAGCAATCCGCCACTATAGGAGTAGCACCAGAACCCGACCTATAAATTAGACATTTTCTTAACCCCAGATAGTCTTCAGGTTAGTGCCAACCAAACCCTATCCTTCCTTAGGCAATCTTCCTTCCCTTAGCAAGAAGCTGACCCTTCACCATTCTCACCCTACTTCAAGTAATCTGAACGAACCATCCGATCTAATTTCCAAACACTCGATGTCTCAGAAATATTTAAATTATCATTTCTCGCCAAAATCATTGGGAATTTTTCTTCTTTCTTCCATCTTTAGATCATTATGATCCCTTCCACAATCAAATTCTTGATACTCCAATATCTCCCTTGCACCCATAAAACCTTTACCTTTCTCCATATCTGACCACCCAGATTACTTCATAAAGTTGTTCTCCATTAGCACATAATCAATCACCTTAACAACTCTACCTACATGCTTTTAACCACAATCTTCAACATCTGTAGCCATAAAACCTTTATCTTTCTCATATGTTTTCTCTAAATAAACAAAAATTATATGTAGATCCTCCTTACTCTCTCTTTTTTTTTGCTCCATCAAACCTCTCAAAAAAGTATGGCTTCCATAATAGAAATACCCGGCATGAATCCAAATTGATTTTGCAAAATTTTTCAACAAAAAGCATCAACAATATGAACGCTAAATCTAATGTTTAAAAAGAAATTACAAAAAAAAAAAAAAAAAGACTAAGGCGACGGGAGGGAGGCGGAAACTCATGGTCAAAAAGCGTGCTTTCCCCGACGATGAATGCGGTGATCATCGGCGGCGTCCGGTGATCAATCGGGGACGTCGATCTACGGCGAGCGGACGGAGAGCGACGAGGGAGAGAAAAATTGGTGAGAGAAACGAACAAAAGAAATGAGCAGCCGTCGGGCTCAAGTTCGAAAATAGGGTTTACGACGGCAGATTTTCCGGCGTCCCGGACGCCGGAAACATTTCCGGCACAAAATGCGTCGGTCCTAAGTCATTGAGTTTAAATACCCCGACGTTTTATCCGCCGGTAACTGCGCCGGTACGTTTCCTCCGCAAAGTGCGGCGCAAAAATAAATTGTTGTTATTAACCGGCGTATTTTCCGGTGCAATATCCATCGGTATGTTACCGGCGTCATATGCGCCGGAAAATACGCTGTAGCTATTCCTTCGTATTATGCGCCGCTGCAGGCGCCGTGTGTTCCGACGCAATTGTATCCGCCGGTAAATTTCGCCGGTAAACGCGTGTTTTCCTGTAGTGTGCGGAAAAATTGTGCTCTTCTTCTTAATTTTAATGATTATATGCTTATTTATAAACGCGTTAGAACATTTCGCATTAAATTATGATCCTCCTTTTTTTTGTTAAATTTCTGAATATTTTAGCGCTACAATTTTAATGGCTTTATCTCAAAATTTTCTCGTAACTTTCAGCATTAAATTCATAATCATCAGAACTATAATTTTAACAAATTTATAATTAGGCTTCATTTTTTGATAAGATGAATCTATTGATAAATCTTATGCTGAAAAAAGTTTCAAATTTAAATCAAATCGAGTTGCACTCAAATATTGAATAAATAATCTATAATTAATATCATACAGTAGAATTTTTTGAATTATGATCAAAATTTATTAAAATGTTCTCCCAAAAATTGTTATAAGAGGTTGGAGAGCTGGGAGAGAAAAAAAAATTAACAAATTTTAACGATCATCTAACTGGCATCATAATTAGATTTTCGCTTGATGTTTATTGTTTAACACATAATTTTATTGTTAAAATTTTAATAGTTTATTAGTAGTAGCTTAATTTTTTTGTATTTTCTTAAAAGAGAATCATATAATTATTCCTACCTAATATTTGTTCTAGATGTCGCACTAGTAATACATATATATAATGATTTTTCAAGATGTCGCACTATATTGAATTATTGTTGTTGGATCGGATCTAATGATTTTTCTCTTTTTTTTTTTAATTTTTTTTTTATAAATTTTCTTAATATCTTATAATTTCTTTCCGTGTTGAATTCTGTTCAAAATTAAGATATTAGATACATTCTATCTTAACAAATGATATTTTTAATTTTAATAAAAAAGTTATATTATTTTTTTATAATACTCTAGTTCATATTTATTTTTTAATTATAATATGATTTGATTATACTGAGTTTAGCAAAACATTTTATTAAATAGTTAATCTAACTAATATGCTAGATTTTGCCCTTTGTAAGCGTGCTACCTTGTCACATCAGCGACGGCAAATTTCTATTCTAATTTTTGGCTGACTAATTTCTCAAACGTAGGATTTCAAAAAAGTTATCCTTCTCAATTCACTTCATTTTCAACTAGCTAAAAAACATGTATTTAATTCATTTATTAAATAAATGACTTCATATTAAATATTTTTTATTTGATAATGAAAATGCAAAATAAAAGTTATATATGTATAACACTTGTATTTTAGATTTATTCATTGATTAGTAAATAAGATGAATAAAAAAAATTTACATAAGCCGAATAATTTTAAATTTGAGTGTGATTCATATGAACAATTTCAAACAAAAGTCAAACATGAGTATGCAAATTTGAATGAGTTGAACATAATGATGAGGTTTCATTTGGGACGATTTTTATACTACTTAAAATAACTTTTTAATTGACTGCTTTAAAAAGCAGTAAAAAGTTATCTCAAACAAAGTTAAGTGCGTTTAAACTCGATTTGTTTTTATAAACAACGGCCTAAGTGTCCTTGACAAATCAGACATTTAATATCTTCTTGTTTTTTTTAAATATTTTTCTATAAAATATTTTCTTGAGTGTTGGAGGACTAATATTGAAACATGTCTCTAATATTTTAATTTTTTAGTGATTATGGGTTTTTGAAATTTGTATTTTCATTATAATATTATCCCTAAATATATTTAATTAGATATAGCTTATTTGAATGGCACCTTTGGTCTCTTGTTTGATCATGCATTTTTAGCTCACATCGCTGATCATATTATCGTGAATTCTTATGCTTATTTAAGGATTATTATTTTCTGTAGGCACCAATAGCATTATCAATAGTTATTAGTGTT